CACAATAATACTACTATTTTTCGTTCATTATTGTTTTAAGCTTATAAAAAAATAATTATTTTGAATTTTCTAGTTTGATGTTCTTTAAAAACGTGTTTTTTAGTTTTTTGAACTATATTTATTTTTCATTTTTTAGTTTCGTATGCTATAAAAGCTTGTTTTTGGTATTTTTCAAATATATATTTTATCTAAACTTTTGGATCAATCAGCCGTATATTGTTTAGAAAAATGACCATTGATATTTTCCGATTCCAGAGAGGGAGCCATCTGCGCCATCTGCCCGCAAAAAAATGAAGCAATAATGTCGATATATCAAGGAGGTTACATACAGCGCCATCTGCCCGCGAAAAAATCAAGCAATAATGTTGATATATCAAGAAGGTTACGTATAGCGCCATCTGTCCGCGAAAACGTGTTAAATGAAAAAAATAGGAACAAATATTCACAGATTCAGCTGTTTAGCATGTTCAGTTTGTTGGTGAGAGGTATAAAAGTTAGAAGTGTTTTGTGTGTTCGGCGATATTCTGCTATTGAAAAAATGGATCAAAGAATTTGCATCAAATTTTGTGTGCTCAAGTGCTCAAAAATACTTGAAATGTTGACAGTGGCACAAGGTGACTGTACTCTTGTGTCAGAGAAATGTTGACTATCGATACAAGTATATGGTTGTGACGTTGAAACCAAAGTCCATCTGCCTGGCATTGTGGAAAAACAATTCGTGGCTTTTGCACCATGATAATGCATCTGCTCACTCGACATTGCTTTTAAGTAATTTTTGGCCAAAAACAACATCGCAATCATGCCTCAGCTCCATATTTACCAGATTTTACCCCCTGCAAATTTTTCCTGTTCCCAAGATTGAAGAGAGCTATGAAAGGACGGCGTTTTGCGACCATTGAGGAGATGATAACCGAATCACTAAGAGAGCTCTATGACATACCTTATCTTTTAACAGACTTCGTATTTGAAGAATTTAATAAAAAGTTTTCGTGTGATTATTTTTTAGAGCAATAATCCATTTTTTGTGCCTTTTGTGTAATGACTTGTATATTTTTGAAAACATCATAAATCAATTTTATTGTTGACAGGGTTTCCCTCATCTTTATGGATCTAGTCGCACCAGTTCTAAAATTTCCATATGTCATCAGAACATCCAATGTCTAGGTAATAAGAACTTACAATTAGATTTAATTTTTGACAAAGATTATAGTTGTGATTTTCTTCTTATGTCTGAACATTGGCAAAATGAGGATCAACTTGATGTTTTAAAGTTGAATAATTTTTCAATCTGTACAGGTTATTGTAGAAAAACATTAGCTCATGGTGTCGTATCTTTGTATAAAAATGATAAGTTTGACTCAAATTATGAAGTTTTAGATTTAAGCGAATTTTGTGTTGAACATGTTCTGGAATGTTGTATATGGTTAAAAAGATTTAAAATAATTTTAATATGTATTTACAGACCACCTGAAACTAACTTTACTTCATTTCTGGAGTTGTTAAATGGTCTCCTATTGAAATTAGGTAAGGATGGTATCAATGTTATTATTGGTGGGGACTTCAATATCAATTTTAATGTTGAAAGTCTTAACTTGAATAGATTACTGGATCTTCTGGAATGTTTCAATATGATGAGAACTATTACCGAGCCTACTAGGGTGATGGCAGCCTCGAGTACAGATAATGACTACAGTACAGCAGTAATAAATTTAGGTTTGTCAGATCATTACGCACAGTTCATTGAGATATCAATTCAGATCAGTAAATGTCATGCTCGTAAGAACAAGATTGATATTTTTCAATACCAGAAAGACTTTTCAGAAGACAATATCTCCAACTTTAAAACATTCTTGGAGAATGAAGATTGGCACGATCTTTTAACTGAAACATGTCCCAATGCAGCATACGATATTTTTTACAGAACTATCTTGTACTATATTGAATTATATTTTCCTATGAGACGCATTAAATCGGGGTCAATTTATAACAAAATCATAGTACTGGATGAAATTATCAAACTAAAAGAATTGGTTACATTATATTCTCAATTAGCTAACGTTGACGCATCATATAGAGATATCAGCCAGCAACTAACAAAAAGATACAGGCAAAAGTTGCAAACAATCGATCTGAGGATAGCCAACTCAACTAATAAAACAAAAACCACATGACAGTTGCTTAACCAAATAAAAAAGAAACCCAACCAAGTAACAGAAATTTCCTTAAAAGAGAACGGAACAGAATTATCCACTAGAGAAATAGTCCAGGAAAAGTCGGACTTGATCTTAAATTTACGCAAAAAATAATACCTATTTGTTCAACTTCACTATTTTTTCCCCTAATTTCTCAATTTGAGGTATTAGATTTGATTCATAACCTGAAAAGCACGTATTCATGTGGGCATGATGGGATACCTAATAATCTTAGTAAGAAATGTAGTCAGGAACTGTGTTTTCCCCTGGCTTTTCTAATAAATTTGTCAGTAGAAAAAAGAATTTTTCCAGACAAACTCAAGTCTGAGCTCATAAACCCAGTTTATAAAAAAGATGACCCCCACTTCACTGAAAACTACAGAGGAATAAGTCTTCTATCAAGTTTTAACAAGCTTCATGAGTTGAATATAAAAAATCAACTGCTTTCATTCTTAACTATGAATAAGTTGCTATCTTCAAGTCAGCATGGTTTCACAAATGGCAGAAGTACTGAAACTGCTTTACATAATTTTCATGAAAATGTAATAACAGCTTTGGATGGAAAAGTCCAGATTTGAGGGCTATTTATTGACTTTTCTCGGGCCTTTGATAGTGTTAATCATGACCTCCTATTAATTAAGCTCGAGCGATATGGTATAAGGGGTGTAACATTCAATTCAATGAAATCATACTTAACTGATCGATCCCAGAGTGTAATCATCAACACAACTCAGAGCCAATCTCTCATTGTTAAACAGGGAGTTCCCCAAGGCTCAATTCTTGGACCTTTGTTATTTTTAATCTATGCTAATGATCTCATAATTTCCTTCTTGATATCTCTAAAGTCCAAGTAATATCATATGCTGATGATACAAATCTACTCATAACTGGCGAAGATACTACTGAACTTGTGATAACATCAGAAATGGTATACAATAAATTAATGAAGTGGTCCGAAATAAATCATCTGACGGTAAATGTATCTAAAACCTCTTTGATGAAATTTAATTTGAGTAAATTTCATCAAAGAGGTTGACTGGAGTACATGTACCTCTCGGTCGCGTGTTTTCGCTCTGCAAACATTTGCTGTGAGAATTGTTGCAGGACTAAATTGGATGCAGTCATGTAGCTTTTATCAGCAGTCATGAAGCTTTTAGGCAACTAAAGATATTCACTTTGACAGGATGTATCTGTATGAACGGTGTATATATGTATACAAACATAAAGATAAATTCTTCAATAGAACAGATCATCAATACGACACTAGATCCAGAAATCTTCTTGTGCCTGCTATGCACAGAACTAACCTATATCAAAAAAGTCACTTATATTTGGGATGCAAAATTTTTGATCACCTCAATGTCTCTATCAAAACATCTCCAAATATCAATATTTTTAAATCCTGACTTGAAGAATTTCTTATTGAGAAGAACTGTTACAGTATTAGTGAATTTATGACATAATAGTATATTTTATAAAGATGTTTTTCTACTCCCGTACGTGAAATAGTACTTTCACACACCGTTCACGAATCGTAAAATATAAGTTCACGCCCTTGTGCGTGAAATTATTTTTACGCCCTAGGGCGTGAAATAAACCCATAAGAATAACATGGTACATTCAAGTGTTTTTATTACCAGTGCGTGAAATATACTCAAAAGAAATACATTGTAGTCTGTCCATAAGACCTAATACATGAATAATTTAACAAAAATACGCAGAAAAAAATTATTTATTGATTATCAAGGTGGAAAATGTACCTGCCAGATCGTTGGTATAAATAAATTTGGTTAAAGTTCCTTCGGTAATCGCGAAATACCTAAATTTACCTCATGCTGAACAATATACAGGCCACTGTTTTAGGCGGTCATCCGCCACGTTATTAGTAGAAGCTGGACGCGATTTGCTTACCTTAAAAAAACATGGAGGTTGGAAATCCTCTGCAGTGGCAGAGCATTATATAGAAAACTCAATTACTCAGAAAATTGATGTGGCAAATAAAATTTTATCGCCTCAAAATCAAATTTCCTCAGCCCCTATCGCCACTACTTCTATCATCTTAACTTTCAAGTTAAGAAACACACTAATAGCAAAAATCAAATGCTGCAGGTGTAAGTTTTGGAATGGTCACAGGTTCCAATATTACTATTAATAATCATTATTATTCCACATCAGAATGAAAACCAAAAATAATAATCTCAGTATAAGAATTAATTGTTAATTTTATAATATAGGTACTTACTAATTATTCTGAAATTCAATAAAGCTCTTTAAACTAATGGTGCTTAATTTTCTCTGTATGGTCGTAGAAAAAGTAAAGTGTGCAACATGTGCGTGAAGACTTTTTTACACTCGCGTTGTTTGCGACACTCGCCTGAGGGCTCGTGTCGCAAATTCCACGCTTGTGTAAAAAAGTCGATTTCACGCACTTGTTACACAATATACTATTTTTTGTTGACAATTCAAATATTATATTTGTGCTGTTGTTTTTCAACTGACAGTTGTCATTTGTACTATGACACTTTTAACCTTTTTCTAATATGTTCTTGCTGTGTCTTTTTTAATTAAGTCGATCGGTTCTATGAATTTTTTACATTTCTATATAATTATATATTCTACTTCTTTTATATTAATAACTTATGACTGTGTTCATATCATTTAAAATCATTTCTATATTGATTATGACGTTTTTGTCAGTTACTGCTGGAATGTATTCATACATTTATGCTTTTTAACTGAAAAATAAAGATTTATTATTATTATTATCATTTATGAGTTGTTCATCAAACCAGCGAACAGGTGGTTTACTTTTATCAACTTAGACTTTATGTAATGGAAATACAGAACTGACATTCTAGCTCAAAATATTCACTGGGTAATTAGACAAAAAGTTCGGGTCAGAATTATTTTCAGATTAATCCAACTTAGAATTAGCGATATCTATAGAATATCATTAGAAAGTGAAGATTAAGGTTTTCAGATAAAAAAGTTTAGATTCCAATGTCAAATCATAATTATTTTTTTATCACCAAGCTTTCTTCACTCTCATTATTAGTATTTGTGGGAAACAGATATTTAAAACAAAGTTAAAAGACCCATTACGTCTTATCAATCATCTGATGGAAACCACGACGATTATTGTATTTTGAATATATACTTACTTTACCACCAGCCGCAGTTTCCAGGGCAAGGCAGGCATTCTGATCGTCAGATCTAATCAGTCTACAGACCACGCCTTTCACAGAGCTCTTGTTGAAATTAGGTTCCGGATCCGAGTAACGAAAGTTTGTATGAGGTTTGCGAGCATAGAAATTTTCCAGCCGCTCTTTAAGATTCCTGATTTCCGATATCAAAATTCTCCTCCTGTCAGTTAACTCTCTCATTCTATTTTCATTGAAGTTCAGTTTATTGATGCTAGCCTGAAAAAAAATGAGATGACGAAAAAATGAGGAATGAGGAACACTGTTTCACCTCTAGAACTTTAACTTCATTTTCCTTCTTCTTCAACATAACTTCATCTTTCTGTGTGTCGAATGAATTCGAACTCAACTCCTTTTGCCGCTCAGCCAACTGAGACCTGTAAGAGTTCAGAAGCATGGATGACTGTTTACTCTCAGTATTGGCCCTAACGGCTTCCTCTTTTGCCTGCATGAACTGCTCTTGGAGAGTTTGAGCCTCTCCGTCTTCATTAACCTCCATACCTGCACTGACAGCTTCAAACTTTCGTTGTGACAAAGCGAATCCCTCGTTATCTCTCTTGTCGTTTTCCTTCAAAGTTTCGAATAACGATTGGACTTTGCTCAATTCTTGTTCTTTCGCTTCCAAGGCTTTGCTGTCCTCATCGAAATTTTTCTTCAACTGATCCCTTCTCTTCTCTTCAGATTTGATGTCGTCTTTTACAGATTTCAGAGCAGCTGCTGATTTGGCCTCTTTCTTTTCTTTCTCTTTCAGCTGCGCTTCAAGCTCTTGGAGTTTCAGGGAATCTTCCTGTGAAACAAAATATTACCAACATGAAAGATTTTTTTTTACTAACGGTCAGTGTTTTGAACTAAAATCAACATAACAAATTTTTATAAAATCAAGATATTCCAGATGTAAAATTAAATATCAACAAGAAAGACCAGACTTGTCTGCTCCAGAGAGGTAGTATCATTAAAATATTCGTCAGTTGAGTAGTACGCTTTCTTTAGGAGAATAATTTTTGGATTATTTTTGAGCGTTCTTTTTAGAAAGTATTTTTAGTGTATATGAAAATTTGTTGTGAATTTTTATCAGAATGTATGGAACATTTATCTGTATAAAAGTAAAATTTGGAATATTAGTAACAATAACAATAAGACAATAATTATAAGTTCACAAAGACTTGAAAAAAAGAATGACTAAAAGAAAGAAAATCAATGCAATAATATTAATAATGATGAGCAAGGATGGCTACTAAGACCTAAGGCCTTTGATGAGTTGTGCCACCACTTACCCAAAAAAAGGTACAAAAACAGACCGGCAACCAGTAGACAAAAAAACTCGGTTCCTGGTAGTCGAGGAAGGCGCCCCCACAATCGAGTTGCTCAGTGGGGTCAGAGGCAAGGTGGTGGGGCCCATAATGATGATGTGCCTAACGATGGCAACCTTGGCAATGACAACGGATTCTTTGAGTTAAGAGCTAAGAGATGGCCTAACGCATTGCTACGAGAGAAGTGAGCCCACGCGAAGAGGGTACATGGCAAGAATGCATGCTCTGTGAAACACATCCGGAGCATGCCGCCTTTTCCGTCCAAATTCTTAGGGTTATCTTCGGCGGCAGGGCTATATAGCCTGGGCCATGCCACCAATGAAGATAATCGGAACACGCAGGGCGCTCCACAGAATCAGTCCCCGAAGCACCAAGAACTGGCTTGTTTGAATGAAAAGGCTGACATCTGGTAAATTAACCCCGCCTTGTACGGCGTTGTCCGTTTTACGAATCGGAAGGACGAAATCCAGGCTATGCGGTTCGTAAGATTGAACGGCGGGTACACAAGATGAAGGTTAAGATCACGTGTGTGTGATGGATTACAGCCGCAGTGCGGCGAATAGTCGCCAGACTATGACGTTTCCATCACACTTTGAGTCAAGGCGTGCTGCTGACCACCAAACAGCACTGCCTTGATGAAATACAAATGCTAGTATAGTATTTCCAATACCCATTGGAATAGCACAGAGAAGGAATTCCCGCCTCGACATAGGCGTCGGCATATTATTTTTCAGTTGTAGTTTTTCAGTTACTTATTCTTACAATCATAGCAATTGATCACCCCATGAAAAAGTTATCTCAACAGAATTTTTCCACCATTTGTCGCTTTTTAATCTATTGTTGACAAATTAATTTGCAGATAGTGGTTCCACTAGTTAATTCCCGAAAAATCAATTAGGATAATCATCATTTAACAAACAAAGTCCACATCGGACCAAAAAGCTGTAGGTATATGAACAGCTAACCCTTGCCTTCAGATTCAGTATCAGTCACGTTAGTTCACGACGTTTCGATTGTTATTATCTACAATCGTCTTCGGGTGATGACTGGACTGATTCCTCCGAGAGATGACTATTTATAGGTCGTTCGAGTACTTTCACTTATCCCCGCTTTCCATTTTCCGCTTCACTGGTTCCGTGGGAGATGACCGTTTTGGCGGGAGTTGGCCATTTTTCGCTTGATGATGGG